AATGGATTGCCAACCAAGGCTCAGAGAGACTTCATTCACCCTCATCCAAGATCTTTGAAGGGACGAATACAGAGACCTGGTGCACCGAATGCCACAAGGTTCCCAAACGACCCTCCGCAGGTTTTGAATTCAGAGTTGTCCTTCTCCTAGACCAGTTGCCATCCAAGGCTGTCCTGCTATTTTACCCATAGCTGGAGGGAGAGGAAGAGGATTCATACCTTTCCCAAGGGTATTAGCACGTAAGTGAATGTAATGGATTCGACTGGAATTCGAACTCGGCTCTGCGATTCCTCAATCCAAGCCGCTATCAATTACTCCACCGTGCCTCCTGCTGAGAATACCAGGGACTGGACACGGGAAAAACGACGAAGGTTTAATCTATTAGTTACTAAATCTGACGAACTTCCCGGAAACTATGATAGCGATCGCTTACTCGAATTTGTCAGTCACGAAGACCGACTTAGATATCTGGATAGTAATGAGTGTTATTTGAACACATATTTTAACGCATACAGCCCGAATAGTCACCGCCGTATAGTGATCCGAATAGAGAAATAGTATAGTGAATAGAGAATAGCAGTCCGTATAGTAATAGATAATGTAGAAATCGCGATTCGAATAGTAATAGAGTAAAGAATAGAAATGGCGATCAATGTGTTTCCTCTATGGTCATGTGGACTACTTAATTCAATATGGGATCTCTTTTGCTCGGCGTTGCTTAACTCTAGTGATCTTATGATCACTAGAGTTAAGCAACGTCGAGCCTGGTTAATATCTAGATGGGTGACCGCTGGGGAATACCAGGTGCTACAAGCTTGAATCTGCGAGTAGTGTAATGTATAATGGCTCGGAATTGTTAATCGGAGTACCGCGTTCTAATTCTCGTTGGGTTCGTTATATTTACTTACGAGCAAATACTCATTTGAAAACATGAGGTCATCACTTCTCACTCGGCTACGAGTTAATTAATAAAGACTTACTGATACAGTTCCTAGTAATTAACCCATAGATGTCGGTATAGAAGAGCTAGATACATACCGTCCCCATTCGCGTAGGTGACTATAACGAACACGGGTGGAATACGAGCTTGACTTTAACTTCCAATTTCGAGCCGTTATTCATTACAAGACACGTTGACCCACACACGCGCATCCAAATTTACAAAATCTGGTATTTCCAACCAGTCACTCATCTAGATACTGATCAGGCTCAGTGTTAGTTAACTTCGATGATCAGGAAGAATATGTTGAATTTCCTTTATAACGAATAAATACGAAGGGAATAAGAATGATTTGATCCTGTGTCTGTGGCACGACATTTCCTAGATGTGAAGGTCTGGACTGCTGCACCAATCAAATGTTCGTCTGAATATTTGTCATGTAAATAGCGATAGGTATGTGACGTTTGATAGGGGCGGAGGGTTTGACATAATTCATCATGCACAAGTCGACATAAAAGATCCAGATATAGAAACAATAGTTCATTTCTGATTTGATATGGCTTTTGTGAAGATAGTGCTTACCATGAGATTCTTAAAGCCCTGCAAGGAAGATATTAACCAGCATCGTTAACGATGGATCTTATATAAGGTGATTGTCTAAGCGTAGCTTAAATGTAACAGAAGCCCGAAAGTATGTGGCACCAAGTGAAGATCGAACTCAGTACAATATTTAGTCGTAAGTGATTTATCGAAACGAGCTTGCTAACAATTACACCACATCGAAGTGCTCCAAACGACTTTCTACATAGCTTAGATTTGACGCAAGGCCGAAAGCATTGAGCACCATATCAGAATAGAACTCACTACTCAGTTGTAATTGAACTAGCGAATCAAGCTAGCTAACCATTACACCACGTCGAGGTACCCCAAATGACTTTCTAAATGTAGCATAGATCTGGCAAAAGCAACACCTAGTCCGGATCAAACTCACAAGTCAGTTCTAAATTATCTAGCGATCCAAGCTTCCTAAACATTACACCACGTTGAAGTGACCGAAATGATTTTCTAAGCGTAGATCTGGCGAAAGGAGCACCTAGCAAAGATTGAAATCACTACTCTGTAATAACTGATCTAGCGAGTCAAGCTTGCTAACCATTACACCGCGTATTATATAGGCTCCATCCACTGTGGTGGATGGATCCTATATAATTACCATCGCTCAAGCTTGCTTAGTCTTCTCGACAGTGGTGAAATTTGCCAGGCGGCCTGCTCCTTTTCCGCGCGTCACGCTTGTGCGGCCACTTTTAATCTTCTCGATCGACTCATACAAACTTCTACGCGGTAGAGCACTGCCGAGGTATTGTGTTAAAACCCTTCGATGAATTTTAGCCTCTGACACAACTTGCGACAAGATAAATTAGATCATTGCCTTTGTTCTTCCTTGATGCACACTGCTATCGAAGCGGCCATGTTTACACTGTAACAGCATCAAGAAAACTGGCGCGATCAATCTCAAACTTCGATCACGTGATAAACCCAAATATGATACGACGAAATATTTTTTTTATTATTTACAATCGTATATACATTATCGTGGAAATACCTAGCATCTGTTAACAAAATAACTGAGAATGATGAAGGGAGGATATAAATATTACTGTTCGATATTCTTCGACAGTGCAAAGATGTGACAATATTATGAAGACAATAAATATGAGAAATCCGGTCCGAAAGAATCAATGTAACAACCTTAGATTTCAGGAATGTAATAATTTACCTGTAAATCTTTGGCTTCATATAAAATATAAATATTTTGAATCTTCAATAAATAAATTCCAAGACGGAAAACAGCGTTGTAAGACGTTTTCTTCTGCAAGGATTTTTTTCGCATAAAATATCGATTTTCCTTATTGAATCAATCTTATCAACAAAAAGAATCTCTCCGGGTCAGGTTTATATCACAATGTTAATGATATCTCGACGTTCAACATTTAATTTTAATGTTTTCATGCTCGATCTAACTAAATTGTAAGCCTAGCCAATCTCACGCGGTAAACGAATCGTTTTTCAGCAGAATAAAATGCCATAGACTAATATACACGTATCTTTAGGATATAGTTTTATTAGTAGATTTTTTTTAAAACTTCCCTACAAAAGAATAAGCATCAGATGAGTAATATAAAATAAATTATATTGCTTTTTATGTTCCCAAATTAATTTTTTTATTTCTTTACAATAAATTAAAAAAAATACAGTCAAGAAATGCAGAATTTCTAAACATGCATAAAGTTTTATCGTATGTCGCTTCTAATCTTTCAAGCATAATCTTATTTCTTAATATCTTCACATTTTAATTTAATATCGAATAGAAAGGATAATTGGAATAAAAAAGATGGCCTTAATTTTAAAAAAGAAATTAATAACGTTCATTGCTTAAACTCTTTGTTATAAAACGCTGACAGCATAAAGCAATGTCTTTAAGGGGATTAGATCCTGAATATTTAATAAAATATCCGTTTGGAATCAATCTATACTAGACGTGTTTATTATTATTATTTTCTTTGATTTCTGGCGTTTACACATTTCTTTCCGGGTCCCGCCCAGGGACCTAAGGTTAGAAATGGCATCATGACACTTTCCACTGACAAAAAAAAAAAAAAATACATAGATAAAGCCCTTCGTAAAGTGTGGGCTGTACTTGTCAGAACAATTTTTTGTATCTCCTTGAGGCATGGACTTCCTGGAATCTCTTCAATTAGTCTACTGCAATCTTCTCCAACCAGTCCTAGGGCTCCAACTACAACAGGGATTGTTGATGTTCCCTTATGCCACATTTTCGAGATTTGTATGCCACATTTTCGAGATTATTATTATTATTCCGGTCTCTCTACTTCAGTCTTATTGCTATATAGTTTTGAAAATTTTATCCTCCTTCCACTAATGAACATTTAAAGAAAAATCGAAAACGAGGTGCTGCTCTGAATCATTTATATACAAAACTCTTAGGAATTATTTCCTTTTTTAGGTGAAATTAAACAAAATTGTATGAAAACCCATTGTACCCGAAAAGAATTAATTTTGATAACCTATGCTAATTATGTATACTTATTATTAATAAACTTTTGATAGATGAAACTAAAATGTGACCTCGTTACAAGCCCACGTACCCAGCAAACCTTACTAGTTAGAAACCTAAAGATTTAATATTTCAGTTCATTTACTCTCACTATATTGCATTTTCAATTGCTTTTTTTTTGTTTTTTGTTTTCTTGTCAGTATTATTACAACGAGATGATGATATATTTGATATGTAAATATTAAGTTGAATCATAATTAAGTTTTCGTTTATCAATTTTATTCCTCATAAAATAAAGTACAATTATAAGCGCTTCAATTATGAATTCACTTAAAATGAATTATCATTATTTCGAAAGTATTTTTTTAGTAAAATTCTACAGGATTTGATTTTCAAAAACTTCGACATACTCGAGAATCTACCCGGGATTAGAGAACGTTTTCTACATCAAAGCGTTTTTTTGATTGATTGATTGCTTTTCTACTGCTTATCAAAATATACAAGTTATTTAAAGCCAGAAAATAGTTTTAGATTGTAAGGTGTTGTTATATTTTAGCGATGATGGTTTAGTGATACACGTCTTACTAAATGATGTATAGCTGAGTGAGAAGATGTGGACCCGTACCTTTACCATGGATATTTGCTCATAAGTGAATATAACAAACACAATGGGAATTGAAACCCTGCTCTCCAATTAACAATTCTGAACGTTTTTTTGATTTCTTGATTGCTTTTCTACGGCTTATCAAAATATACAAGTTATTTAAAGCCAGAAAATAGTTTTAGATTGTAAGGTGTTGTTATATTTTAGCGATAATGGTTTAGTGATACACGTCTTACTAAATAATGTATAGCTGAGTGAGAAGATGTGGACCCATACCTTTACCATGGACAATTGCTCATAAGTGAATATAACAAACACAATAGGAATTGAAACTCTGCTCTCCAATTAACAATTCTGAACATTACCAGCATATCCAAACTCACAGCACCTGTTATTCCCAAGCGGTCAGCCAACTAGGTACTGACCAGTCTAAACATTGCTTAACTTCGGTGACCGCACAGGAACCAGTGTTTTAACATGATGTGACCGAAAGTCGCAAAGCATTATATAGCGATAGATAAAGGTAATGATCGGCTGGTACAAGGTCAGTTGAATATGGTGGGTTGATTTGTACAGAACTAAACTAACTGAATATTTATTTTTGGCTCATTTTTGGCTGTATGCGGAATATGCCGTCATGCAGGAGTAAAACTATTTTTCCACCATTGGCGAACGAAGGACCTGATCTTTCGGAATAGGTTACAGCTGTTAGAACAAGAGATGATCATTTATTGTTTTATTGTTTTTTTTTAAACTCTAAATGAACAGATTGACAACGATTCAGCCACGCGTACAAAATTAAGTTTATTCTATGGAACTCAGTATTGGATGTGAGTTAGGGAGATTAAACATACATTTCACGTAGTACATTTTCGTACGTAACACATTTTCATAACCTATCACGAGCAACGTTTTCTTAGGGTGCTAAATTCGTCACTAGAACTGGATCCCCAAAAAGGGATTTAATTATAGCTCTGTAACACTGTTGTAATCTATCATGTTCGGGTCAGTGGATGCGTCAATAGGTTTATGAAGCTCCCGATGGCATATGTTCCGAACTAGCTATTTATACCGATAGAACTACGATTCACACTTGTCTTAATAGAAAATCCGATAGGAACGAACAAGTAAAACTGGAAGCTGTTCTTGAAAATGACCTCTAATCGGTTGTTAAATGGGGCAAGAGACGGCTTGTAAATATTATCCCCTCCAAATAGAAATTGCTATACTTTAAACATCATAGAAAATCGTTTTTCTCTCGATAAAACATTTCACTTTCTTGGTCACACGGTTTTCACTGACATATTTAGTGAAGCGATTATATTTAATCAGTTGTTAGATCTGCAGCTAAGAAGGTTGGTTCGCTGTGTTGTTTCAGACAATTATTCTCGTCTGAATCCATGTTGCACATTTATAAATCTAACATTCGTCCGTTCATTGAATATTGCTGCCATATATGTTCTGGTGTTCTTCCTATATATCTCGCAAGTCTAGATAAAATCCAAAGAAGGGTATATAATTTTATCGGTCTTTACCTGGCATCTCTATTCAGTCACTTTGCTACCGCCATGACATGTCTTCCCTCTGCCTTTTCTATAAATATATTCACGCTAGTTATTCTAATGAGTTAACTTCCTTAGTACATCGACCGCAAGAATATAAGCGTACTAATAGATCGTCAATTAGGTCACATACTTCAGTTGTTGATATAGCATATGCCTAGATGTAACTGTTTTATTTTAATCGTTTCTTTTCTTACCTGTTGGAATCTCTTCCGATTTATTTTATTTACTGATTCCTACAATTCTCAACATTTTAGTACAATGTCAAAAGCCATATACTATCTTCTTGAATTTTGTTATTTTATTTTCCTTAAACATAACTAAAGTCTTCTAAATTCTGTTATCCTATCAGAAAACTTTGACGTTTCAGTGACATTATCATCTTTCTTAGCGCGAAATGAAAAAATATATATAACAGGGGGATTATTTACGGCAGAAAAATCACATGAAGTCGATAAAGAGACAGTATGTATAGTGCCATTCTTTAAAGTGGGATGATCTTGCTCTATTGAATAACAACCATTGCCACCAGTTAGTAAAAAAAAACAAACTTACCAGTTCACGAAAGAAACTGAGTATCCACCTTTGAGAGAGTTCAAAAACGCCCACGCCAAGTGTTGATGAATTACTTTCAAATTAAAACTTCTCCCCAGCGGAGCCATTGCTTCTATGTGAAATGTTCTGACAAGGTACATTAATTAATTCCACCAGGTAATATCTTTAAATCTTAAATCCGCCATGGCTTTCCGTTTGTATTTCATTAATAAAAAGTTTCTTTCCAAGAATATTTTTTTTATTAATCTCTTTATCTTTTTACATATTCTCATAATCTCCAATTCTTACTTCTTCAATTAATGATCATACAACAACCATATTCAATAAGCCTCTACCATTAGCGGCTATCGAGCATATGATTATATTGTTTGATAAATTAGTAAAATATATATACCCTCATAATCTTCACTTCTCACATTATTTTAAAGAAATTCACTCTAAGCAAAAGGAGGAGTGTGTCTAGTACGCAAGGGACTACAAAAAGTGTAACTAATGGAAATGACCGAGTGTAAGAGGTTGAGGGAAAGACAAAAAAGAAGAATAGGAGAGGATAAAAAGAAGAACGGAGATCAAAGCAAAAGAAAATGTCTGTTGACATTACATTTACATTTTTGAAGATTATAGTTATCAGGAATGCAAGTAAGAGGAAGAAACGGTTATATTTAACTGTCTCGACAGTAAAAAGATGCGACTGAGATACCGACATAGTAGCACGCTTAAATTCATGCAGCTGAGGCACCAGTGAAAATAGATCGTCAGAGCAGATGCCGTGAAACTATTCATAGAAAAAAGAAACAGATGGTAGCCACATTACTTCGGTGATAAAGAGACTGGAGTGGAGATCCCAAGTCAGGAACGATCACTTCCTTCATTTACGATCTTACAATCACATTCAGTAAGTCTCTACCATTAGCGACTCTCGGGCATTATGTCGTATGATAAATTAATAAAAAAGGGATTATTTCACGTGCCCTTGTCTCTCTCATTTCCCATTATAGGACTGGGTCTTTGGTTTGTTTGATTTTTATTGCTAAAATTTATGAAAAGTGATAATATGGGGTTATTTCGGTAAAAAATAAATAATAAAAAGAACGTAAGTAAAAGACATTTTCTGTAGTACCGTTTTTTTAATTATTACTGGTGCATAATTGTTTTTTACGTCTTATGCAGATTAATAAGAAGCTTTCTTAGGGCATTACTTAAACATTAGCTAGGAGCTATATAATGAGAAGATGCCGTCAGACACGAACGCATCAAGTTTAATTTTTTCCTATCTCAAATCGGGTTAGGCATCATGTCGAAAGAATTGTTTTCTTTCTTTCTTTTTTTTGTGTGTGTTATGATTTACGTCGATGACATTAAGGAAAAAGCACAGACTAATTTGCAAATGTTACTACATTTGATTTCCTGACGGAAATTTACGATTTATTTGTAATTTTGGAATGACATGTTGTAAACACACACACACACACACACATATATATATATATATATATATATATATATATATATATATATATATATATATATATATATATATGTGTGTGTGTGTGTGTGTGTGTGTGTGTGTGTGTATTCGTGTAGAATTTATTGATTCATTTCTTTTTACGGCTTATCAAACTTTTTCACGTTATTTAATGCCAGTTTAATATTTTAGTTTAATATTTTTTTTAGATTTTCATGGAAGTACTAAATATTTACTAATACAAGTCCTAACGATTGACTATGGGAGAAGAATTTAGAATAACAATTATCGGCAATCGTAATAATGTCTACAGATGCGAGGAGAAGGATAAAGTAGTAAGACCAGGAAATTGACACATTCTGTCTACCTTACCCCAAAGCTTATCTGAAAAGATAAAAGAAAATCTGCTGTCCATACATCAAGACATTATTCAGAAGCAGTTCTACTGCACGGAGAAATCTCTGCCGAGTAAAGTCTAACGGGAGAGAACAGGATCATAAATTGCATGTACTCTGTATCTTGAAGTTGTGGCAGAGAATATGAAGATGAAACAAGCCGCCTCTTAAGGCAAAGCTGGAGGGATATCGAAAAACCATAGTAAGTAGTAAGACAATTCGGACATATCTGATCTTGTAAAGGGCTAGTCAGCAGGCTCTGTGGAATGAAGTGAAAATACTGGACAAGGAAGAAAACTGGAGTTAGACGTCTGAGTGAATCAGCACATATTCTAGGCTTTAAGGGCCTTCCAAGTGGGCCTAGTATAAAAATAAATACAATATGGGAGCCACTAATATATAAAGAAAGACAAATGGCAGTAAGTCGTCAAACGCAAGAATCATTACATGAGCTCTCGCAGAGAAGAAAGCATCAGAAAGTCGTAGCAGTTGCAGCCTAATCAGCAGTGAGGTTAAGATTAAAGATCCAAGTTCACTACAGCAAATTATCCTACGTCACAATCGCCTAGAAGATAAAAAGTCTTTTCCCTGGTCGTACAGTGTATACTTGCACTCAACGAATATGGGTGATCAGTAATAAATAAAAATAAGAAGTAACCGAGATATCCATAGACATGAGCAGTGGAACGACAAGAGTGTACATCCGTAGATTAAATAAAGGGTTCAGTTCAGAAATGCCTGTACACCAATATACACCCGAGGAAGGGTGTATATCGGAGGGTTTAACGGCTGGACCGCTGTAATAATACCAACAAAGATGAGGAAATTAGTCCAAATATAAACAGTTTAAATGATGATAACTCCTTCCAGAAACTCAAACAAATATATATATATATATATATATATATATATATATATATATATATATATATATATATATATATATATATATTATATATATATATATATATATATATATATTCTGTTTGTCTGGAGCCTCTTTCTGTGTCTCTCAAGGTCATTGATAAAATCCAGAGATGGATATGCAATGTAATTGGCCCTGATCTGGCATCTCGTCTGCAGTCGCTCTTTCACAGACATGCCGACGCATCCCTCTGTCATTTTTAAAAATTCTTTCAAGGTAACTGCTCCGATGAGATGCTTTCTTTTGTTCCCAGACTTCATGAATTTAAGCGTTCAACTAGGCTGCCATCTCGCTCTCACTCTTTCACTGTCAAATCTGTTAAATGTAACCGTCTCTTCTACTCCAATAGCTTCATCTCTCGCACTTCTCGCCTGAGGAACTCTCTCCTCTTTCTCTGTTTCCCTGATAGCTATAATCTCTAACTATTCGAATGTAATGTCAATCGACGTCTCTAGATGTCTTGATCTATTCCCTATCCTTCTCTCCATCATTTGCGCTATCACTCCTCTTTGCTCTCGCTCCAACACTCTGTAACTCCCTGCGTGCTAGTGGCTTCCCGTCTTGCTTGGGGTGAAACGCTTAATATA